TATTTTAATTATTTAAGTTAATTCAATATACGATTATATATATATATATATATATATATATATAAAGAATACACACAAATTAATGATAAATTAGTGCATTTTATATAGCGAAATGTTGCATTTTATAAACAACAAGTTGCACTTTGTAAAACAACATATTGCACTTTTTAAAACAACATGTTGCACTTTGTCGCCACATTTTCAAAATTAATGTAATCAGCGTACACCAAAATATTTTGCAATTTAAATCTAAAAAAGGAATCAACATAATAATTTAATATTCATCATATCATTTGTCAAAAAAAAAAAACAAAAAAAAAACACATGTATGTTAACAATCCAAAATTTCAGTATTGCAATTTATATATTAGTAAGTTGCACTTTATACTACGATATGTTGCACTTTTTAACGTATCATGTTGCACTTTATAAAACAACACTGACGTGCAACAAATACAATAATTATGATAAACAGTCGAATAATATTAGTGTGTAAAATGTTGGATTTAGTATTAACTATACAGAATAACCAAACATGTCGAACTATATAAAAAAATATTACCATTTTTTTTTTTGTTGTACAAATATATTATTAGAAAAAATATAACTATTTTTTTTTTGTTTATATTGTTTATCTGTTGCGATTGCACGTTGTGTCTATACATATTGCACACAATTGTCTACCGGATTGCACCAAATCGAGATTCAACCAACAAAACATAAATGAAAAAATATTAAAATATTAGTTAAGAATTGTTAATTACAAATTGTACCAATGACCTATATTGAAATATACTAAAAATACTAAAATTGCAAATATGCCCCTCAATGTCATCTAATTTTCAAACATGAATTCCCCAAATCAACACTCTGCCATCCCCATCTCCAAACACCGGTCAAAATTGACGGCACCGTTGTTGAAGTCGCCATAGCCCTAAGCATGTTTACCCGCCGCCGCGTCGGAGCCACGACGCCCCTCCCGACCACTGTCGTCTCCTCCGTGTACCTCGATATTGTCGACCATGTAGGCATGGCCATCGAGCTCTGCCACCACCGCCGCAGTCGTGGTGTTTGTGCAGTGACGCGACTGCTCATGGCGGTGGCTGGTCTGATTCCGACGATAGCATACTGACGGGGTGGGCCTCCTGCAATGGCAAAGAAAGACGGGTAGTATGGTGTCTGGAGAAGGCTAGATCTATGGCAACACGGTGGTCATCGGCTATGGCGGTCGGCGGTGGACGGCGGAAGGCGGATGCGAGGTGGAAGATTGTTGACGGTGGCGGAAGGCGGCGGCGGTCTGGTGTGCGGCTGTTCTGTAGGATGCCGGCCGGCGGATCGAAATTGCTGGTGAATGTGTTTGTGTGAGTGACCGTGTGTGTGTATGTGAGAGAGAGAGAGAGAGAGAGGGAGGAGAGAAGTGACGAGATGGAGAGATGGGAGAGAGAGAGAGATCTGGTTTGCAAAATACATGTGGGTCCCACTTATTTTGGTTGTATGGTGAATTACTTTAATGCCCCTTGAGTT